GAAGTGTCACAGTCATTGTGTCACATCTCAGTTTCTCCTTCTCGCTCTCTAATTGAATATAAAGTGTAGCTGGACATTACAAATTGAAATCAAATCCAATAATAAACTGTAAGAATACTATATTTTGACTACAAAAAACCAACTTCAGTCTCTAAGCAAACACACTCACATTCAAGCAAAACAATTTAGAGTCTCCAGATCAACCTAACCTGCATGTGTTTGGACTAGTCGTAAGGTAAATTATAACTAAGTTGTGATTTATGCGTTACTAAAATCAAATAAAAGCGGTTGCACCTGCTCTGAGTAACATCTACATAGGTTACACATGGCCATACGGTGGCATAAAACCATAAAATGTCACAGAATTATATTCACTGATGGTAAAACAGCTGTTTTTCTGCCACACACAATCATTGTTTCATTATCTGCAGCCATGTTGCGACACAATGTTCTAGTAAAACCCTCATTTATAAATATGATATTTCAATATTGATTGTTGCTGCAGTGGGCTGTTGGGACGCCAAGTGGCTCATGTCATCCAGAAAGCTAATGGCACAGTAACCATGGCGATGGAACTCAACCTTTGATGACTTTATACCCAAACTGGTTAGATCATGCCTCAAGTTATGGTGGTGCAACTAGTTTTAATGGCTGATTTAGTAACATACTAACTAGTAGTAAATGAGCCTCTCCTGTCCACTTTACATCCTCACTTGGGGGAGAAGTTACGCCTGACTGGTGCGACCCCGTGCAGAGAACTGGGGGAAACGGGTGCAGACGACGTCTGTGGTTCCCAACCCAGGACCTCCTTCATGTGAGCTACAATGCTGCTGCCTTTACGGTTTGTTAATAACAATTTTAAAAAGACTAATTAAAAGTTACTGAAAAAGTAAAGGGCGTGATGTACATTTTGTAATCTGCCAAAGTCTGCATGTGGTCCGGCCAAAATAAGTCTGAAACTCGCTTCTTCGGGCTACACGAAGGCGACCCTGCACAGAATGGCCGTATTTTATACTTTTACTGTACAACTTGTATAACTTTAAAGTTTGTTTCAAAAATGCCTTCTAACAGGAGTTGGATCAACTAAACAGCTTGCTTGTCGCAGTGGTCCATACGATGTGGTGTTGAGATATGATCGGTGTTTCTCTTTGCTCTTTTACCTCGTCTCTTACTCCCAAATATGGCAGCTTGGTCAGTGGCTTCAAACTATGACGCTAAGTCTAGAAGAACTCAAAATTAAATCATTCACAGTTAGTGGAGAGTTCGGCTAGCGTGAGTCTCTAGTGCGCTTGTTGTATGGACCACATAATGTGGAAGATGGGAGTAATTTTATACCGGTAAAAACTAACTTTTTTTGGCTTCATGCGCCACCGACAACTTCCACAAGAAGAGCCTCCAATGCTGAATCAAGTTCTCCCTTAATTGCAGATGCACCGATATCAGCATCAGGTCCGAAACTGAGCTCATGTACTTGTAATCATCACAAGATACCACCTGATAGTTCCTTTTAGCAATGTGACGTTATGTAACCTCTTGTTAGTGGAACAGATAGGTGGAGGAGAAGCAATGTCAGCAGCTTACAGTCAGAAAGTGAGGAAAATCTGATCGGCAAGTACCCAAATGTAATTACTTGGTCGCTACCTTTTAATACATCTATGTTTTGTTGTGAGGAGTTTCATAGGAACTATTTTCTTTCTACCGAACTACATCCGCCAACCCTATCACTGCACAGAAGGAATTGTGCATTCTTGAGCAAGCCAACGACGACCTGGTTAATGTTTCCATCCTGCGCTGTCACGAGCATGAACCTCTCGTCCATGAGTGGATGCAACAAGGTTTGATTGTTGGTAGGAAACAAACTGCGGTCTCCTGTGGCACAGTCCAGCATCGTGTTGATCCATCCATCTGCCCCGAGCTCTTTCCTCTGTGGCTCTACAACAACTTCGCACAACTTCCTTCTTTGCTCCTGATGGGAAAGAGTTCTACACTGCAAGAAAACTGCCCTTTGCATGGCTATAATTAAAACTAAAACTAAGCATTAAAATGTAGCCACTGAAAGACCATTAAACGGGCCATTAAACTATAAAAAATGTCAAACACATTTCTGCCTTATTACAAAACAATTCAGTTATTTAAAACTTTCTGAATATTAAATCAAAACCGGGTTCACACGCTTTTAAACTTTTCCCTCGGACTTCTACAACTGTTCTGTCTCTTCGTGAATATTTGATCTGACGGACTCAACAGTGAAACTTGTGAAGCCTGCAGTTTGTGTGTTCACTTCTTTGGAGCAGTTTTCCTACTTTTTTAGACAGTCAACTCGTCTGTAATCGACGGCGAAACCGGCTCGACGGGAACATCCACAAGCTTGACGCGGACAGATCCTTTAGTTTCATCCGGAAGGGGCGGTTTTGCAGAAATCCATCCAAAGCTCCTCGGAAGGGCATCAAAACTGCCGCTTAAAAACTTCCTCTCTGCTTACCGAGATTGGCAACAT